TACTTCTCCTGAGGCCATTGCCATCAAAAAAGCAAAGCAGGCCAAAAAAGACCAACTCGACTTGCTCATGTTGGATCGCGAGTTGACGCAGGAGCAAAGGGCTTTGGAGGATAACGAGGGTGGCTTGGGGATGTCAAAGCTTCAATTAGGCCGAGAGATGGTGGATATGATAGCAAAACTAACTTCAGCAACTGTTCCTCATGAGGATGCTAAAAAGATGGCTCGAGAGTTCCTTCAAGGTTTATAGCAAACCTTTCCAATCAAATAAAAAAGCCTGTTTTTTCTCTTTATTTGATCGGTCTCTAATTTTTTCCTTCTTGATAACCAAATGAAACATCAAGTTAACTCAACAAAATATTCTCTCTTGGATTGGTCTCTTATTTTTTATTCTTGATAACCAAATAAAATAGCAAAAAAAATCTCCTTCACCTTTTTCAATCTCAATAACACAATTAAACAGCTAAAAAAATCTCTTTGCTTTTTCTTCTCAATAGTTGCTTTTTCTTCTTGATAGTCACAATTTAACACCCTAAAGATCTTGTTGCATCCTAACATGCTGTGTTGAGCCTTTCTGAAATGAATCATGTGTGGTTTAACAAATCAATGGACTCAACTTGTTCATATGACTCTCGTCTTTGAAATGAGTCATATGAGCTTTGAGGCAATCAGGTCGCTGCTTTTGGACTGCCTTCTCTGTGTTGGATATGAACCATGCACAACTCAACTAAGTTAGTACTTTTGATTTTATGATTCAAATCAAACAAGTCAAAAAGATAATCAGGTTTGAAATGATTCAAAGCAAACTGACAAATCCTTACGAGTTGAATCAATTCAAGTCAAAATAACAACTCCTGAGGAGTGGAATTGATTCAAGTCAAAATAAGAGCTTGTTACGATTTGAATCGATTCAAATCATAACAACAACTCTTTACTAATTTGTTGTACTAACCCATTGCTTCAATTTAGTTTGAATCAATTCTGATAGTGGTAGTAACAAAAAGGATTTGACTCGATCAAATCAACCAAAGAGAAGTTGGTCTCATCTAAGAGATGGATGTTATCAGATTTGATATTTCAAGTTTAAAAGGGATCTAAGGGCATCTAACAACTTCAACTAAGTGTTGTATATCAGATTTAAGAAGTATCTAAGTGATCATTTTCAATTGGAGCAGATTTACAAGCATTTTGTTGAGGATGAGTAGTGCTCTGAACATGTTTGTTGGTCAATACACAAGTGGTTTTTGGTTTTGAATTTGATTTCTTAACAACTTCTTCATCTGTTGACTCCTCATCTTCATCATATACGATTGGTACAGATTTACGATTAGGACGCTGTAAACGTTTAGCAGGCAGAGAAGTGATACGGCGATGGGTGGTGGATTTCCCTTCGAATTTAGAAGACCTACCAGCTTTGGTGGCTTGAAGCTCTTGTTTAGAAAACTCAATCACAGCTTCAACCTTTTCTTCTTCAGTTTTGCTTATCACCACATTGTCATGGTTATTCATCAAAGGTTCCTCATCATCACTAGAAGAAATCATGCTACGTTTTCCTGCTGCTTCACTAGTGGGTTTGATTATTTTTTCATCTGCTAAAGCTTCTGGACTACTGAGCATCTTGATTCCTGCTTTTGTAATCGATTGATCGGAGTCCGAAATATGATCAGGTAATTCCGTAACTTTGGCTTAGTACATTGACTTCAGCCAAGTTTTGCCATTTGAGGTAAAAGCTGATTCATATCAAAGCGCTTCCTGAGCACGTCTGAACTCGCGCAGTAGAGCATTACGCCTGGAATAAGCCGTGGTCTCTTGTTCTTCCAGAGGTTCTTCTTCCCCATGTCTGAGATCTTTGGGAATTCTTTCTTCAGGCTCCGGAACCCAAACATCCCTCTGCTTGATTGAAAAGTTGTGTAAGATGCAGCAGACATCGATCCAGTCAACAGCCTGTTTTGCTGAGGCAGAGTCCTTGATGAAGACACACAAGCAACTCTGGCTCGCAGCGCTGTGCAGCGCTGCAGACCGTAGATGGGGCAGTGCAGCGCCTTTGGGACTTGCTCAACCTTGGAAGCTCTGGGGAAAGCGGCAAGAACAATCTGGGCAAAAAAAGTAGCAGAAAGCTATACTTTGAATGCGCAGCGCTTCCGGCAAAAAAGTGTGATATTTTTTGCAAAAGATCAAATTTTATTCACAAGCAGAGATGTTGAAAATGTAAAGAAATGGAAAACATGTGCTAGTGGAAGAGATTGTAGTTGGATGGAAAGAAATGAAATGAAAACCACAAAAAGAGAAATGAAAAGAGTTAAAAGCAAATCAGTTTTGGTTTGTTACTTTAGTTTTAAAAAAGGAAGATGAGTGAAAGGAAACACTTAACTTTGATACTTTCAGAGATCACAAATTCTCCTGGCCAAAGATCACTTTGTTTAATTTTGATAAATTGATTATAAGGTAGAGAAACTGAAACAGACATAGATAAAAGTGATTCAAATTGGATTAAAGTTTCTTTTGAAGTTGAATTTGATTGAATCCCATTGAAATCTTCATTATTCAAAAATTGATCAAGTACTCTTGAAATTTGGATGGATGAATCAGAATCGATTGTCATAGTAGAATTTTTGTTTTCAAATTGTTTGGGGATTATAAAGATATAGTCATAAAGGTTTAGATTATTGATGAGTTGTATTGGTATTGATGAAGACAGACCTATATGTTCAAAAATCAATGCATGTGTTTACTTTGAGATTGATAATCAAAATAAGAAGTGCTAACCATGCATCGGTCTCTCTCATTTGATCACAATCCTTTCTATACTGATCCTTTCCAGCAAAGCCATCTATTTGCAATAAAAGAAGAAATGAATTGTCAAACCCAGTTTTCTTCAATTCTGATAGTGCGATTAGGATACTGACAGTGATGTGATTGGATAGATAAAGAGATCGAAAATGAGACTGATCTGTAAAATCAAATCAAAAATTGGTGAATTGTCAAGTATGATTGATGGCTGCGGTAATGAGTGGTGGTGAAGACGTGGTCAAGGCTGGCTGGAGGTTAGTGTGGGCCCTGTGGTGGCTGAGATGACAGAGGGAAGCGCAGCGCCCCAATAGTTTGGGCTCCAAATGTCAGCGTGAGGCGCAACGCCCTGGTTCTGAGCTGCCCGGGCAACGGTGCGGCTGCGCCGAGTGCTGCGCTCCCCGCTTCCGGCTACACTGCGAGCCAGATTTGACACAAGTCTTGCAAAGACTGAAATCGCATCTTGAGTTGCCCGTTTCCGTGATCCCTTACAACCCTGATTTTGCTGAGTGACTTGTTGAATAGCTTCTTGATTGGTTCTAATGATCGTGATCAAGGGCTTTTAAAGGTTGGAATCAGGTTTTTGGTGCACGTGTAACCAGAGTCCGCCAAAATGTATTTGTTTTCACCAAAAAAATCTTTGGGATGTTGTGAAATCTATCAAGATGAACCAATCAGTGTCCTCATTTCTAAGTATTAAACGAGATCAATTTACCTCGGTATGTGAGAATATACGCTGGTCATGCAAACTACCACACGACCCATGCAAACTATATATGATGCTAGCTTGATGATCACAAATTAACAATGAGTTGAGAGTGTAGGTGTGTTTACAAGTCCAGAAATCTTCTGGGTTGATTGTTGGAGCAGGGCTGAGAGGGATGAGGGTACCATCAATAAATCCAACGCAGTCTTTGAAGAATGATTTTTGTCCAATTTGCCGTTTGATGTGATTTTGCTCCTCTTGATTAGGCCAGCAAACGTACTCATCCTTCAACTTCAAGATTGCCTCAAAACAACATCTTGTGAAATTATGAACGGAGCCCTCTACATGCAAACAAAAATGGTCAGTAACCTACCAAAATCTGACTTTACGCTGACTCACCACTCATTGCAAACATTTGACCTATCATATACACACTGCCACCATTTCCACTAAGTCCTAGTTGCCATTCAACAGGTGATTGAGGAACTGATGAGTTGTTGTGGAAAACTAGATCATCTTGGATTAGAGTAACTAATTGATTGAAGTTGTTTTTGGACATTTGAGCCTGATGGAATTAGATGACCTACATCAGCAAACGGGCCAAAAAGGATATCTACGTGAGATTTCTCTTACAAATTTGCGAAAATTGTGTTCACTAGCATTCAAAACCCCACTGAACCTTGACCGTTGAAGGGTTTGATCTCTAATGTGAATTCTCGGTTCAATGTATTGGAGGTGAGTGATATCATCAAAGGCTTGACCAATCACCAAACCAATCTTCATAGTATGTTGAAGGATGACATGCTGAGTATTGGCAAGCTCTTGCAGATCACAGGTGGCTTTGAGGAAGGTGTTGAATGCACGACTGAGGGAGAGAAGTGAGAGGATCAAGACTTCTTCAGAGTCATCGAGTAAGATTGCAGCGGCAGTCGCCATCATTTCGAGTTGAAGGTAGGCATATGAAGAAACATAAGAGGGGGGTTTTGATGTGAAGTAGATGACAGATAAGACCTTTTTGGACGCTTTCACAAGGTCCGCAGAGAGTTGTTGCCGGAGACCCACACAAGGCATGAGGAAGAGGAAATTATGATGGCAAAAATTGTAACACGGGGTCCTCAAAGTAAGAAAAATCTATGCTGCATATTGGTTTTTTTTCCCTGCCAAAAAAAAAAATAGTATTCTAGGTTCTGAAAAAGGCAGAATCTACCTTTCAACTTTGAGTACCCTTATTGTTACCCTATGGATCAGAATGAGATGTTGAGCAAGAAGATGTTGTACTTTGGTTCTAGCAATTAATGTTTTGAATATAAGTGATCTTTGAAAACAAACCATCAATCCCAAGGCTTTGTTACCATCAAAAACCATTGGCCTCATCAAAAAGTCCAATTGTTAAAATGTGTATCCGGTCTTCAGAGATTGTAGCAGAATCAAGTATAATCAAAGTTCCAGTGAGATTTTGTTCACTTTCATAAGCAATCATATCAGGTAATGTGAGCATTTGAGATTTGACCTATTGTTTGTATGGACGTGTAGAAGCCATTATGTGTTTCAATTCTTCAACAACAACAATTAGACCTACAGCTGTATCAACTAAGAGGATTTGACCAGGTCGAAGTTGTCCTTTACAAACATTTTGAGCAGGGTCAATAGGAATGTTGTCAACTTCAGAAGCACCAATCTGATATCATCATCAGTAGTTACCCATCTGCAAGGTCTTCCATTTTGATCCAAATTCGCACCATAGTATCTTCCATCTGAGAATGTGAAATGAGCTGGACCCTACCAAGGTTCCATAAGAGCTATATCTGATGAAAATGCTGAAACAAACATGCCATAGGATTTGAAGGGTGGTGGGTCCAATGAGGAAGACAAGGGTGTGTGTAGTTTGCGGTGATTGAGATTCTGTTTGAGATTCTGTTTAGAGTTCAGTTTGGAGATATTTCGAAAAAGTTTGATGAAGAATGTGAAAAGTATTGGTTTTGAATACTTGGTCTGGACTGGAACTTGGTTTTAAGTTTTGATTGGATTGTATGCTGTTTTGATTGATAAATGCCTTTGTTAGTGTATGTAGTTGACAATTACCAATGCCCTGTATAGATCATCACAAAATCAAAATGAGCACAATGGCAAGTGTATGGAAAGATTTGAATTTAAAATTTGTGAAGACATACCAGGTTTATCAATTCTAATATAACCCAAACAACATTCACAGACCACCAGCCATACCAGTGTAATCATGTGCTGAAAAACACAATATTATGCCAAAGTTGAGCATTCTCCAAAACTTCCACAAAGTCAAGCTCAGCCATTGATGACCAAGTGATAGGAGGTATCCAGGAGGGTAGCTGCTCTCTGGGAATTGCAAGGAAAGAATCAATAAAGTGACCCAAGGAAAGCTTTGATGACCATGGGTATGAAGAGTTGGTGTTAGAGGATAAGGTTACTGGATTGATTTTTGGAAGATCCAGAGCATTCCTAGAAATCAGTTGGACATAGACTGTGCAGAGGGTCGAATTGGGAGGCTAAATTCTTCACTCAGTACACAGCAGATGTGAATTGGCATTAGTGGAAGGGACAAGGGAGCCAGTTGATTTGAATATGGGTTGCATTGTGGCTGCATGATTGAGAAGGAGGGGGTGTATCTTTCTCTTATATGTTGTAGGTATTGGGTCAGGATTCAAGAATGTGGTGAATGTATTGACCTAAGGTTTATGTATAAGAAGTGGTGAATGAAGAGGTAGGAACATAATGATAAGCGGGTATTGGTGGAAGACAAGTACCAACAAGTACCGGGACCAATTAATATATCCATTGCACAAGACTAGGGATATGGCTTCTGATATGTATGATGGAAGAAACTCCATGGCAGGGTCAGTTTGGGCTGTTGAACAGGGTAGGAGCTGGCGGTGAAAGAATGGTGCATTGTACTGACTCTCAGGACAAGGATGCAGTGGCAACCTGCAAGTGAAGAATGTCCTGGGCTGAGGTATGGAAACATAGAATGAGTGTATTCCCCTGTGGGGATGGGGACCATGATCAATGAGTACATAACCTGACTGACATGACCAAGGCTTTCTCAGTCAAGGTTATGTAGCTTCTATCACACATTTCCACTTCATTATTACAAGTGGTTGCACCTTGAGTATACTTGTATGACCAATATGGCACAAGCCACCCTTCTTGACGTATTCACAGTTGCATATAAAAAGAGAAACCATTGTCAGTGTTTAATGCCATACCAGCCACAATCCATGTCACAATCTTTTACTAATTATCTCACCTGTCTTACTTTTGCCTTCTTCATAAATTCCTTCAAAATTCCTTCATGGAACTTCAAACTTTATGGGCTTGAAAGCCACTTGGAAATTGATGCAATGTGGAATGTACAAAATTCTGTCTGAATGTTGTCACTGGATTTCAATCTTTTTGTCCACAGTCAAAACTCCGTCAGGATAATGTCAAAGAATTTTGATTTTTTTTGCATTGTCAAAATTCTGTACACAGAATTTTGTGTTTCTTTTGGAAAGCAAAATTCCCAACAAAAAAAACAGAAATTCCATATGGAATTGCAAATTATGTTTGAAGTGTGAGCGTTGTTGAACTGTTCCTGTGTAGGAATAGAAACAGTATTGCTACTTCTATCATTGACTGGTGGTGTGATCCTACAAGTTCTTTGAGACTTTTGACTACTAGGGACATTGGTGGGGAACACTGGATTTGAAGATAGGTCAAATACATAGACTGGGTTGTTGTCTGGGGTAACCTGGCCTGTAGGAATTGGCCCTTCATTTTGGTGAATTGGTCAACTCTCATTCTCATACAACTTAACAAGGTTGGATGCAAATTTCAACCATTGTTGGTACCAATGTTGGGATGAATAGGGCATGATCTTAGAATATTGGGATTGGACCTGTGACATTGATTTATTAACTGAGCTGTTGGGTGCAGTATATGGAGCGGTAATGGCTGCTGTCAGCCCTGAGTACTAAACCAGAGTACCAATGGGTGACGTATTGTAATAAAAACCTTAAAAATAGCAATTACAACTCAAGGCTCAGTTTCAAGAGTCAAGTTACATATGATTTAGCATATGTAACATGTGCGGAACTTACATTACAGGGTATGAACATACATAACTTTGATGTAAACTAAAGGTACATATATTCCACAGCCGTATCACATACATAACAAGTGAAATATACTTATAATTCAATAGTAACTGTCTTACTGTAATCAACCTAACCATAAAACCACAATTTTTGCGCACTTGTAGTCCAAAGATTTCCGAGGTTCAGACTATATAAACCCTGAAAATCCAACCAAATTTAGAGGAATAACATTATCACATTGTTATTCAACAACTACACAACTTTGCTTTTATTCATCTTCCTAGAACCTTTAAACTTTGATTATCAATTATCAAAATTTAAAGGCCTGATTCTACAAACCTTGAAACTCAAACCTTGTGTCTTGTTGCTTATTCTGTGTGCTCATTCAACCTTGTTTTTGTCTGATTAGATTCCGTAATCAGTAGCTTTTGTAATATCCATACGGTGGAATTACGTATAAGGAAGTAGTCCTTGAGTGCTGCTTATATCAGATTTGGGATTCATCTGATATAAGAAACTCTTAATCTACGCGGAAATCTCTATTAGTCAGAGTGTAAAGTTCCCGGTGTTATAAAAGACTTTAACACCACCTTCTTTGACCTTTCTTTGAATAAGAAGAGGATCAATTTAGGATTGAGAACTGCGTGCCAGTTGCTCTTATTTTTAACTATTGCAAGGACAATAATTAACCCAAAATCCCTGGGCTAAATCGTTTGTTTAAAGGTCAAGTAACTGGAGTCTTTACTTGTTTATTACAAGTAAAGCTCCTACGCCCACGTCTTTACCCGCTCAAACTTGTGGATACTAATCCCCACAAGTCTAGTAGAAGTTTGTTTAAACTTCTATCCTCTTGTTTATTGAATCTACTAGCCCAACAGAGGCTAGTAGGCTCACAGCTGCCAAGCTATGGGAGATCTCCCTAGCAACACTGCCACTATACTATACTATACCAGTATAGTACTATACCAGGTATAGTATAGTTTAGACTATACTTAACAAATGACAGTATAGTATAGTATAGTACTTGACTACACTATACTATACTATACTATACTATACTATACCGAGTATAGTATTGTAGTACTAGTACAATCTTCACCTCACCAGAACTCCTTACAATCAATAAGATGATCAATCACAGCATGACCAATCAACTTCATGAGGAGATTTTCCCCATCAAGCACCTCACCAACTTACCCACAACAAAAACCAAAAAGCTCCTTGACTTGCAAGTTCATCCTCCCACCCGTGTATGTATGTAAAATATTGTTATAAGTATGAAAACAATGTCAATCATGGTCTTGTGATTGACAAATGATCAAAGAAAACATCTCTTTAGATCACCAAACAAAGTCAGCAACAAGACAAAGCTAAAACACCAGCTTTGACAAGATGACCTGGTTTCTAAATTTGTATAAAGAGGTTTCTAAATTCATATCAAGATTGAAATCATGTAGACTGGAAGTTTTGAATGTTATAGAGATCACACAGCAAGCATCATCTGGTTTCATTGTTTTATATCAATTGATGTTAATGTAGAATTGATATAGGCATCAAGAATGAAGGGACCCTTGAAGGTTTTCCCCCTTATTGGCATTAGATAATAGATAGTTTCAAAGTTGTCTCGTTCATTCTCTTGCAGCTTATTTATTATCATAACCCAACAGAAAATCAAGCTCCTACTTTCTTCAATGAAAATCAAAACAATTTGTACACTTGTTGGCTACAAATGAGATAGATAGGATCAGACATGGAGATAGTCAATGGAGGATGAGAGCCCTCAATCAGAAAAAGTACCTCAAGTCTCTTTCACTGCCAGCATTAAATAGGTTCCCTGGTCGGAACATGACCTAGGCTGGGAATATCATTGAGAGAAGAATGGAGCATCAAATCATCTTGCACTGCACATCTGAGCCATAAAGCATACACTACATATGTGCAAACATCTGAATAAATCCTTAGCTATCAGCTACATACAGGTCCGCTCAGTTATCTGCTCATCTAGATAAGAAAATCATGTGTAATACATGCTGTAACTTTGTTCAGATTGAGACACACATTTCAAAATATTGACTACATATATCACAATGGCTACTCAGGAAATATTGATGGAACTGTGTAACAGTAGCAGAATGGGAATCTGATCACTAGGACCCATATTCCCATCTGGGAACCTCTTTAATGCTGGCAGTGTTTATTCATCATCCTTTGTTTGAATTTGAATCTATTGTTACTTTTGAAATCAGCTGTCAATTCTTCTGATTTCATTTTGAGATTGAGTCTTGATTTTGATTTGATTTTAGTTTTGATTTGATTCCACTAAGTTTTGATTCGATTCCGATAAGTTTTGATTTGATTTCATGATAAGTTTTGATTCGATTTCATGATAAGTTTTGATTTGATTCCAATAAGTTTTGATTTGATTTCCATAAGTTTTTTCAAGAGGTCGGTTCTAATTTTGGTTCATTGTTAATTTGATCATGATTCTCTTTGTGTGATTGTTCAAATGATTGATTGAATGATGGATTGTTTATTCTTTTATGTTTTGATGCTTTTTTGTTCTTAGTGTCAAGAAGGACAAGATTGAAAAGATGGGGTTCTCAATAAATCATGTAGGATGAGAGGATTTGAGTAGTTTGATTTGA